GATCAAAGAACCTGTGGCAGCCCCGTGCACGCTTGAGCAAGCTGCTTGGGCCGTTTCGAGATGTTGATTGGCGCCAAGGTTAGGGTTGTGGGACCAGCTTGCCGGCAAGTCTAAGCGAAAGACCTTATGAACCATCCTGAAGTATGCCGAGGGAAGAGCCTCTGTGGGCCCTCTGGTCATTAGGTACGGCAAATGGAATTGGTGAACTCGCAGCCTGTACAAAACAGCAACCCCAAGCATGTTGTAGCCTCATTTCCCCGGCATCAACCTGCACAGCATGTATTTGGAGGTCATCAAGCTGACCTTTGCTTTATGGACGAGCAGGGGAAGCAATCAGGATGTGTGCAGCTCTTCAATACGTGAACTTGATACTGACCTGCAAAGCTTGCGCCGCCATCCTGCAGCTGGCAGAGTGGATCAAGCTTAGGGAAGCTGAATAGCCCTGCCTTGATCAGCAGGCGGGGCCCAGCTGGTGGAATGAATTTCTTCTTGTTTTTTTTCAGCTTTTCATGCATCTTGCCTGGCTGCTCTAGCCGCCTCCTTTGCAATTTGGTTCCAGAAGTGTTCCCGGAACAGGACCGGACTTCTCCGATCGCCCACTCTTGCGCGGCACTGAGGGAGCCTCCGACATCCCAACAGGCAAGAAGACAGTACACTAAGTCTTCTGTAACGAGACGTAGAGACGTAGAGCACAGATGAAGGTTGCCTTTCGTCCAGTCCAACACAGCAGTCCGTGGCATGAAACGCGGAAGGCTTGACATGCATTGCTTGCTTCTGGCCAAGGTCTTGCCACCCCTGCGGGAAGACCGCCGAACCGGTGGATTGTAGAGGCAGGCCGATCATGTCATTGAAGTCTACAGGAGACGCTCGCAGCTACTGTCAGTGGCAGACGTGTGTTCTGCAAAAGCTGCCCAAGTGGTGAGTACGAGCTGTGATGCCTAAGCTGTTCCTTTGTCAGCGCGAGGGCGCGCAAAAGCCGTACATCGCAGCAAGCTCAGGGAGCAGATGCTTACATGGTGGTGAAAAAATGCCTCAAGCGACAGGCTGCGGGCTCTCTGGGCTCTTTGCACAAGTCTAAGGTTATCCGATGACTCAGATGGAGACACGCCGCAAGAGCAGTGGCAAGAACGCGGAGGACCAAGCCAATTCAACAATTTGGCTTAGGGGATTGTGTTCTCGGTACAGTTGTAGCACAGGAACGGGGTGACGCCTGAAATTGTAGCAGTGTGCAGGCCGGCGATGGCAACTCAGTCAGGGGGACGCTCCAGCCTTGGATCTGCACAGAGACAGTATGTCAACTTTCCAGGGGCAGTACATGCAGAGCCTGCATGCAGCAGCTGGGTGACGCAATTCTGCACACACGTTGAGTCGCAGAATGCAAGGCGCTATGAAGACCAATTCTTCAAGACCAAGCTGTGCATGTTCTGGGAGAAGGCCTTGCTAGCCGAGCGGACGAGATTTTTCTGCTTTGAAGCAGGTTGAAATCCAGACGGCACTGGGGTTGCATATACCACAGAGACAGCTTACCTTGCTGGCAAAATGTAGTCCTAGCATGTCCTAGCCCTTCCATTCAGAAATCTGGAAGCTGTGGCCCCTGTGGATGGAGGAGGAAGATTGCATCCTAGCAGATTCGATCTCTTTAACTTTGGTACATGCAATGGACACTGTGGTGTGAATGTCTTATATGCACGTAGTTGATATAATCTCACGATGATGTGCATCCTTTTGTGGTCTCGCAACTCCGTCAGGGCGCCTGCACACGTGGGTCCAACTGCAAGTACGCCCATGGTGGCAAGGCTTCCGGTAATGAATCGTAGTTTGTCGGCCATGTCGCACGTCCATTCTGCATTTTCAGTAGCTGTCTCTTAGCAGATCAGGCTGCGCTAATCTTCAAGTGTCGTGCTAGCCAAGTACTGATGAACTTTTTCTTCCGCACTCTCCCAGTTCAGCTCCCTTGGCCGTTTTGCTTTCAGTGGCATAGGAGCTGAATGAGATGCCGAACCTGACCAAGACGCTCACGTCCTAGCAACCAGCTGGAGAGGGCTGGTGATCTTACACACTGCACCATTTCAGTTGAATGTGAGCAGCCCTTAGCAATGGCGAAAGGCTGCTTCAAGCTAGTCCCTGCAACATCTGTGAGAAGCTCGCACCAAGCACTTATTTGTACGCAGACTAGGCCATTACTGAAGATTTGCACCACTTCGGAAGGCAAATTGCAGAGCGGAGCCTCTGAGGTCTCTTTGCAAAGACCTCCTCACCACTGGCAGCTGCACCAGGCAGACTCGGTGAAGCAAAAAGCATGCAACGCTGCAAAGCGCACAGTACGCAGGGACGACTGCCTGTTCGCGCACAGTGTGGAGGCTGGGTTGTTCCAGTCAGGAACAAGCACGCAGCAAGTCATCGATAGTTACCAAGATCTTGTTGCATCGCCGTGATGTGGTACAAATGATCTGCGTGCAGAGTGGATGGATGCAGGAGCTGAGGGCCACCAACAAGTTTTACAAGACGTCCATGTGCAGCAGCCAGTCTGCAACAATGCACGACCTACCTCATTGTGCAACTGCATGGGCTCTGATTTCGTTGATTCAGTCTTCATACCTGCAAACAGCAACCCAGAACGGGGCAGTGCAGTGTAGGAGCTGCAATACGTAATTGCTGCCTAGCCAGCTGTGCATTGGTGTGCCGACCAGGAATTCGACACAAAGCATCAACGACAGAAGAGTTACTGTACCTAAACTCAGACCCGTTCTGCTCTGACGACAGGAACTTGAGATCCTGCTAGCGGACCACGCAAGCATAATGGGGTCTCCACGATGCGGATAGTCCCTGTGACTTCCCCCAAAAAGGGACTGCCGAACAGGTTGAGATCTATCTCGCATCTTGTCTGAGGCTTCCACCGGGTTGGTCAGTGTAAGTTGGGCACGGCTTGCCCATCCCTCAGAAGACGGCTGTCAACCACAAGATCATAAGATTCACCATTCCTTGTAACTGGAAGCCTTTAGATGCGCTCTCGGTGCTCCAAACATGCATCAACTTACTTGCCCCCCATAATGGTCGGCCCTGGGAGTTTGCGGATCAGATGGATGGGGCCCCTGAGGTGCTGGTTGTGGTCTTCCAGCTTTTGATGTAGGATCCATAGGCCTCAGGTATGGAGCTTGTGGGGTTTTGCAGATTATAGAAGACCTTTTCTGCCAAGGCCGTCATGCCCACGACCCGTCGGAGCTGGCAGAAGTCTCGCGCATCAAGGCCCTGACCACAGACGACACGGAGGTGGGCTGCATGAGGCGTTCTGTACGTACTAGCCATCTTGAATGATAAGTGTGCTTCAAGGTCCAGAACAGCTTCTGCAGAATCCCCATGTGCAGGATTCAAGCAGTGTTTTGCAGGCGGGCCTAATGGGCCCACCTGGCCGAGCAGCTGTGCGGCGTGGACCTCGTGGGGCGCCCGGGCAATACTCGTGAATCTACTGAGCCACTTTCTTGACCCGCCCTGTGCCCCTGTGCGCATGAATCTCGTGTCAAGGGTTTAAAGCAACATACTGGAGGCACGGGATTCTCAGTCCAGGGATTTGGCCACCATTTCAGGAACCTTTTGGGCTGACAGACAGACGTTTAAGGGCTGAATGGGGGCAAGTGGAAGCCGGCTGCATTCTATATAGAGGAATCGCAAATGATCTCACTTTTTACCCTGGCTCATACTCATGTTAACAGGAAAGAGTCGCGCTGACAAGAATGCCAAGAAGACCTTGGTGAGCACCGAGGAAGAAGAGGAGGAGCGGTTGTAGGGAATGTGAATGTGCGTGGATTTTGCAGCAACAACCAATGTACTTGCTGGTGATGTTCCCAAAGTTCCCAAGCCCCTGTTTCAGTCTTATTTGTTGACTTTCAGTACACTTGTAGAAAAGCGTGCTAGCCATTCCCCACAGTTTCAGGTCGAGAGCTTTGTTAGCAGCTGGGTAGGGCGCTTCACAAGGTTCTTAGTTGAGTGTTTGCCCTGGCAAGAGGCAAAGCATCATGACAAAGAACGGGTCTTATGCATCTTTTCTCGGTTTCGAGCGCGTTTCATTGAGCTCTTGTAGGATGACGACTTCCCTGAGACAGCGTCCGCGCCTTGGAATTCGTGAGCAGGGGTTGAAGACCCCTGAGCCTTTGCCTAGCTTTCAGTGCAGCGCAGCCATGATTCCTACACTGCGTAGCATAGGCTCCTGCCCCTCTGGTGCATGTTTAATGGTTGCATTGCCGGGCTCCGCAACTTCCCGATGTCCTATGGCTACCATCTGTGCACAACTTGTTTTCCTTCTTTTTGTTCGCGAGCTTCTTGCCGTCACGTGCTAAGTCCAGGGCAGGACCAGGTTTCATTTGGATGTTTGGCCATGCAAAGGGCACAAGAGTGGCAAGTGTTTGCAGGACGTGGGAAAGGGTACTGGCCTCAGAGTCTTGCAACACCTGACGTACCTACCTGGTTCCCTTTCTGCGCATGCATCAGGAGCGCTTAAAAGAGCTGAAAGAGCAGAAATGCCTTTTCACGCACGTGGATAAATCATCGCATTTGAAATTTTTCTAAGATGACAACTTCGCCAGCAACCTTGGGTTGGCTTCCGAATGCAGCCTTCCAGCCAATGTCGCCTGATGGCCAGGGCCCTGGCATTGCGCTGACAATCTTGTAATTTTGAAGAGGATCCGATGTCTGTAATGAACAGTTCCGGTTTACATCTTCCTTTTTGGTTGCGTTAGCTGGACGCATTCCGATCATGTAGAGAGCCGAAGATAGCTTATGAGCTTGGGCAGCCCCGGGTAGCTTAGGCATCGTGGCTGCCCTTGCATGGTGATCTAAAAAGCAGTTGTTGGCAATTGTGTTGCCTGGTTGTCTGCAGAGCTAGGGCCCGGGGTTACGAAAACTGTACAGTGAACTGTGGACAGTACCAGTGTTCCCTGTCACTTCTAGAACCTTCACACCACATGAGAGCCACGCTGTTCGCCCGGCTCCTACTGCCCTGAGCCATGGACGCTCATCCCAAGCTGCTGCGAAGCTAGCCCAGTGTGTATCTCTGCGCTCAAGCAGCGTTGTTGCAATTAGTTGTCTACGACCACTGCGGCTGTTCAGGTGTCTCCGCTCCGAGCGTCTCCTCCTCCACCACCACCGGCGGAGCCGCAACTGCTTCGCAGCACTCAGATGACTCTTGGCCAATCTTGTCCTAACTTCAAGCCGCACTTCGAATACTGGAGGGATTCTTTGCTGAACCCAACGAAAGCTCCATGAGAGACTCAAGTTGACTTCGCCCCACGAAAGAGGCAACAAAGGCTGCGGGACCTGGGGAGTTGGGAGCTGTGATTCAGACCATCCTTGGACTCAGAACATTTTCCGTAGGTTCCCTAAGATCATGTCTTTTGGGTTAGCTCCTACTTCCTGCTCGTCAGGATGATGACCTGGATGACGTCTGTGACATGTGGGTGCTGGTCTCAGTGCCACCATCCGCAAGGTATGCCAAAGGCTACGCCATGCTACGCGTAGGGCTTCAGCGCTGCCTGGCCACAGGCTCGCATGAAGACCGTGCCCGCCCCTGCAGTTGCCACCGGTGCTCCAATGGCCAAGAGCTCGGACTTGGGCAAATGGTTTGAAGATGTTGCCGGAGCTCGTGTTCTTTTCGGTTGATCCATCTTAGTGCTTGCATGTGACGCAAGTCTTGTAATTGTGAATTGTGCCGTTGACGTGAAGGCTTCAGGACATCTGAGTGGGAGATTAATGAATGTGCATCATCAGAAATCACTGAGAAGAAGTAGCTGATCAGATCATTTCATGCCTGCTTCAGACATTCAAAGAGCAACATGGGCCCAAAGTGGCGCATTTGCGGCTTACTCTTGTTTCCGGTCACCTGTGAGGCCAGGGATATCCATGCCTGCCGTAACTTGCTCTTCGAGCAGCACTGGTTTAGAACCGATGCCCACGGAAGGTCCTTCCGAGAATTCCCAGCATTGACCGACGAGTTAAGGCTGTGCCCGGCTTTCAACGGTAAGAAAAACTGCTGCCAAAGCGGCCTGGAGCATGAGCAAGCGCTATATTTTGCCTACTGGAGACAGATCTTCAAGAGCAAGATCACGCGGGTCAAGCAGTCACAGATGGCAACCCTTCAAGTGCAGAGCGAGCCGATATTCAACAACGAGGATGGTGAGCAGGACCGCGAGCAGTTCTGGTCTGCCCTCCGGAAGTACGAGAAGATCCTGGACCCAAGTGCCGGCCACGCGCGCTGTCTGTCCACACTCCTAGTGTATGTGGCAGGCATGATCTGCTTCGGCTGCGACGCTGCCTGGAAACGCGAGGTCCACTTAGGGGCCACAGGGAAGCTTCTGAGGGTACTTATCCCAGAAGGCAACTGCATCGAGCTTTGGACGCAGTGTGCAGAGTTTGGTGCCCAAGCGCGGCAGCTACGGGAAGCCGTCTTGGACTCAAGCTTGGCGATGCGTGCCAGGCTACCCTTGGAATATCTGCAGATGTTTGAGGACCAGCAGCACTTGTGCGATTGGGCCCACGACGTCATTGCCATGCACCCTTTCACACGGCCTGGCGAGGTTGAAAGGGAAGGCACACCACCGGTCCGAGAAATTGGGGGTCGCCGGCTCGCCAACACCAGCGGAAGCTTCTCCGAATTGACTGTAGAGTACGACGTTATGAAGGAGGGACGATCTTCGGGCTTCGACACGTATTGGGAAGGAATGCGCGCACAAAGCTCTTGCCACAGACTTGATGCCTCCTCATTCGCCATCATCCTTGCCATGCTGGCCACATGGCACATTTTTGAAGGGCGTGCGGAAGAGATGAGGCCTTGACATCCACGGTTTCCCCCAAAAAACAGCCCTTCCCTTCTCAACTTGTACTTAGGTCTCGCGTCTTGAGGTTCGTGCAAGCGCTGCAGATTTAGACAAAGTTCCAAAGCGAGATGCAGCCAGCATGTGACCAGCCTGAGCAGCAGCAAAAAATCATTCCAGTTCGTGCGTCAATGCCTTTTGTTCCGTTAAGGTGGCAATGAATCGCGGTGCCATGATGATGGGCATTGGCCTTAGCAACAGTGGTCGCAATTGGCAGAGACTCCCTGACAAAACCAACTCAGATGTGTTACTCGTTCTTTTCCAGTCCATAAGGAGAGGTGGACTCTTCGGATGTGAGACTACACCTTAAACCACCTCAAAATCGTTCTTTGAATCTCTGGGGCTTTCGGCCCAAGAAATGCCTTTGTCTTTGTTCTTCAAACTAGGGGGGTTTTATTATTGTTGAGCTCGGATTACGGGACCTTTCTGCAGCACTTCACGAACCGTGGTTAGTGGCTACGGCGCAGCTTACTCCCAGGTCAGTCGATGATCCGAAATGAAATTCAGGCCGCGCTTCCTTTGGCACACAGAGCGTGTGCATTGCATTTTCAATGTAGCAGACAAACAAGGCAGACCCGCTACGAAACTCATGGGGTTGGATTGCAAAGTAGAAATGCGGTTTGACCTAGCTCAGTGCATCAGCTCCGGGCCACTATGTGCAGCCTCATTTGCTACTGTAAGTGTTCCGGCTAGCGTCTACGGTACTTCAACTGAATCGGGAATCGGGGGTCTTTGTTTACAGCAGGCTTCCAAGTTTCGCATGGCACCTGAGTTCCTCTCAATATTGAAAGTCCAGACGGTGGCTGCGCAGGGTCTGTTAGCAAACATGGACTGCTGCGTTGACCTGCAGATACATTTTTAGCAAAACACGGCACATCGCACAGGGATTTGCATGGCAATAATCAATGAGCCTTGCTGCTTATATCCTGCGTGAAGAAGGCAGTGCCAATGACCGCGGCTGGTCAACTTCAGATGCCTGCGGCTGCGCCGAACATGCGCTGGCCTTGAGAGAGTTGGGAGTAGCAGATTTGCCCTTTGCCATGTGACGCGGGCTGAGACAGTCAAGAACCCCTCCCACAAAGGGGTGTGAACTAAGGCTGACCTGCCTTGAATGAGTTGCAGCACCTAGATGTAGTCAGCCTGTTTCGTTCGGAAAATGAGCAGCCCCTGCCCAGAAACGCTAGCTACAAATCCCCAACTCACGTAAGAGTTCAAGGTGGGCACGGCAGACCAGCGGTGGTGTGCTCATCCAGCAGGCACCCATGTGAGCATGAGAGGAGGACATGGTATGGCATCTGATCTTCTGCTAGTTTTTTCACACTTCGGTGAGATTATTCACGAGCAGCTCGTTTCCACGTGGATCAAGCTGGCTATGTGTGCGTGTTTTTGACATCCTTGGAAGGTTGACCAGATGGGCATCCAGATGAACCCAGGACCCGACCGTGCCTCTAAGCCAATCAGCGTGCACCGCTCACTTCAGAGTTTGTCCAACAAATTCTGCCCAATCCTTCTGCAGTCATATGAGAGCTCGTGCTGCTTCAGGAGGCGACATGCAGCAGATGGTAATGATGCAGGCTGTCTCTGTCTCTGTGTGGTGGAAAGCTGCCGCATGTGGCGCATGTTTTGCAGTTCTTTCACTGCTCATGCCAAGCTCTCATATCTCTCAACTCCCACTTTCGGACTTGGAGTATCAGCCACAGCTGACAGCTGAATGATGAGATGTCCAAACGCGGTATACCCAATGTTATCAGTACTGATGCAGGCTATGCCAGCCGTTCAGGCTATGCCGGCCGTCCAGGCCATGCCTGCTGTTCAGCCTATGCCTGGAGTCCAGGCAGTCCAAGGAGTCCAGGCCATGCCAGGCATGCAAGCTGTTCAGGCCGCTACCTCAGTCATGCTCTGTGTCCGTAAATTTGTCCTTGCGGTGCCGTGGGCGCCTGGTTTGGCATCTGCATGGGAGAGTGATTTGCCAGGCGCCCTAGAAATGCTGAGGTACTGCATTCCTGCGCATTCAACGTGACAAAAGCCAACAAAGCTGAATCTGGCATCTGCAGAAAGCAAAAGACTTCAAGGAACGCCGCACGGCCAAGGTCCCCTGCGTGCTGGTCCCGGTGCCCATGCAGGCGCAGCAGGTGCAACAGATGCCTCAGAAAGGAGCCGGTCACCAGCCTGAGATTACATGCTCGTCAAATGGAACATGATCATTGGAAATTACTGACTGGAAGGAAGAGGCTGTGTCCCAAAGCTCAAGGAATGCATGTTTCGGGATCATGGCACCGCTTTGAGCCAAAAACCTGCAGCATGGTTATCAGACCTTGAAGACATCTATGCCAAGGCTTTTGCCAGGCTAGATGTGCTGTTTTCTGAGGAAAGGCATAAAGCAGCTCCTGTACCTAGTGTTGGTGGATAGGACATGGACGAATGGAATTGATCGCTGAAGTGATTCCTATGTAATCCTTCCTTTCTCCCCGACTAAGCACCAGCATGATAAGGCTATGTGGACATGAAGAACGGCATTCCCGTTCCTTGCGGCATGGACCTCCACCAGGCGAGCCTTTGCGGACTGATTTCTTTCAGGTTGAGAGCCGGTTGGAGTCTGAGCGGTGCACCCCAAAGGCTTCAGTCTGGAAGCCTACCTCTCCTGACACCTAGCCTGCTCTGTCTCAGATGGCGCCGGAGATGGAGGCCAGGAGACAGCACTTCAGGCGTTAGGACGAGGGGCTTGGCTCCGAAGCCAGGTTCAGGGCTTCGGAGACATCAACACTGTTCAAGCAGTTTGCCGGGTCAGCAGGGTTGACGAGGCGGTAAGGCCTAGCAAGCACACGGGTCAGAACCAGTTTCCATCCTTTTGCCCCTGAAAGTCACCATTGTGCATGTGCCTGGCTAGCTGAGCTGTGGGAATCTGAGTTTGTAGGAAAGCACATGCATGTTCGGTCCCCTGCTTGTACTTGTCCTAGTTCTCTAATTATTCTCGTAGGCGTTGCTTGTGCTTTTGAACGTCGCTGTCTTGTTCCTGCACAGCCAAGCCATTGCAGCATCGCTCGCTTTCACCAAGCACGGCATTTCTCACCATGCGGAGGCGAAACTGCTTGAGAGTGCCATGCCGGAGGTGTACGAAGACTAGGCCAGTTGGGACCGTGACATGTTGCCTTACGTCCGCATGCTAGAGGCATGAGATAGGCACACTTCCTGATCATGCCTCTCGTGGCACCAGCTTCCACGCAGCGGGTTGGCGGACCCGGGCTGAAAGGTTGGGCACAACAAGCTCTGGTGATCGGTTAGTCAAGCATACATTAGTGGCAAGGCTCCGGCACAGTCACACTGATCCGCACAACCTGGTAAGACCATATCATGTGTGACACTTCGGCCTGTGCATTTGTGTCGCACATAGAAGAGGAAATGCTTCATACCGTATTGCAACGCAACCAGCATCAACCAGAGACTGAGCCAAGAGCCAAGTCTTGCAGGTGTTTGCTGCTACGCGTTTGCCCTATCGCCTGCAGGCCGCTCAGGCTGCATGCAGCAGCCTCTCAAAAAATGCCTCCCATGCTCGTGCGATGCTTGCCACGTGCCACGCTGCCTTAAGCATTCTACGGGGAGTTGCCGCCTTGGGACCAAGTAAAGAGCGCGGGTCAAGACTCGGTGTAGCAGCAAACCCGTCGACCGTGAAACTTGTCCCTGCTGTTTGATTGCTGAGTTACCGAGCATTTGGCTTGGGTCTTCAGATCGCACTAAGGACCTGCCCTGCACCTCAAGAAAATGGGTGCTGCCAACACAGACACAGTCCGGGAGCTTGCCAAAAGATTGGCTCTACAAAGCTGGCTTGCTGTGTGACGCACACCAATGCTAGCGTTTTGCAAGTTTCATTTTGTGCTTTGGGGTTCGCAGACCTTGCTTTGAAGCTCATAGGCAGCTTCGATTTTCGGTAGCAAGTTACCTCGCCTGTCTGCGGTCTTGGCAAAGTGGCTACGAGTGATGCGAGGGTTCTGACAAACTGTTGGTTATGAGTTATGACATGGTGAAGTATTTAGTTTTATTGTACATGGTTTTCAAATGAAGTTTGAATGAAGACAAGGTAACAAGTATGAAAGACGGATGCAGGCCTTTTGCTTGAGTACTCGGAGGGGAATTCTCACCCCCCCGCATTGTAAGGTTTCTGGGCGTATTGATTCATGGTGTTGTATGTTCTGACCTGCTCCTTCGATCGCGGTTCCTACTTCTCGTATAGCTACATCAAGTCATCTTACTTGCCCTAGTGTTTACAGCGCTGTTTTGCCCGTTCAATAATTTTCGTGAATACCACGCTAGTATCATTGTAGCCTTGGTGTTTGTAAATGACAGTCGCAACATGAAATTGACGATGTTGCCGATTGTGTTCTGATCGTTTTCCATACAGGTATTTCCAAGAATAGGGTTCCCTTTCATATACACCCGAACACTTCCCCATGTTATAATCAGAAAGGCATGTTCGAAACAGCGGAATTTCACCACGCCATTGCCCAGAAGTTTTCCAGGCACAGTTCGTTGTGACCTTCTGCAACCGCAGGAGCAGGTGAGTGAGGGGAGAACACGACATGGACCAGACCGTGGAATGCACTTGACCACAAAAAAGTTTCCCTGAAACTCTCAATGCTTTCAGGTGTATGTTAATGATGGCGCGCCCTCAATATCCTGTGTACTCAGCCAAAGCCGGGTCGTAAGCTCAACGAAGCTATCTCCGGGTAGAATTCAGCTCAGGCCTTGCATGCTTAGTTTGGAAGCCAAGGGCACAAAGAGTGCCCCATTCAAAACAGTTCATAATTAGTGCCTACTGGTTCATTCAGTTCCTCTACCTGTGGCGCCAGGCGTTTGAAGTCGTGTCCTCCTTGCTCTCTGAATTATCTGGCTCCATGCTGAAGATATCAGCGAAATTCAGCGAATCGCTGATCGGTGGAGAAGCTGCTTGCGGTCACTGACGTGCA